CGATTCATAACAACCTTTATCTGACGAATTCCTTCTTTGTCACTAGCGCATAAATTTACACAATTGAAAATGTAAATATACATATATATATATATTTGTATATATATTAGCTAAAGTTGGCAAAGGGCTTGGAAAAATTGGCTGACATTTTGTTATGGAACCTATGGGTACCCTGGGGGTTACAGAAGCTAAAAATATTCAAAATATTTTTTTCCAAAATTCGAATTTTTAAAGGTTTTTAAAATTCCACGGAAACTCCGGGCTTTATTACTAATATATTTAAAGTCTACAAAAGCAAAAAAAATTAAATTATGAATATTTTAGGAAATCAAAGAAGGCTCTTTTTCCCCGCCCTCATGCTCCCTATGAAATCAGCGGGGACCGATATGAGTAAGTTTTTTCAATAGCTTTATTGACAGCGCATAGATTTCATAAAGATTTGTAAATTGAAGAATTAAAAATTAAACAAGTATCCCTAATCTTTGCTAACCGAATTTATGAATTTGAGATAAATAGCTAAACTATCAACTACCGATTTGAACCATCGATTCAAAATTAAAGATTCGGGAAGGATTTGAACCGGTATTTAAAATTTCGAAGGTTTTGCAGAGATAAATAGAGAGATTAGATGATTTTGTATTTGAGGCAAGTAATCAGGTCCTATATACTCAAAAATGAAAAGTTGTTAAATCTTCAATACAAGTCCACAAAGTTTTATAAGAAGGTAAACGAAATATATCGAGAAAGGTTTAAAAGAGACTGTTTTCGAAAAGTAAGAGTGTATACTAGAATGAACGGTATATATATTTTTAGTGACTGCTCCCTTTAAATTATGACCTAATTTGGGGGAAGAAGCAAGACCTAAATCTATTATAACCCGACCCTATTATAAATAGGGCAATGGTCAATATAATCCTAATATGATCATACAGGGTGGATTAAAAAACGGACAATTTAAAAAAAATTTATTTACTCGTTTTTATTAATTTTTAAATAATTATTTTCGTAAATAAGTTATTTCTAAAGTTTTTTGTTTGATAAGACGCCTTGTATTGTTGATTATGTACAGGGCTCCCATTAGTATTGTTATTCTATTTCTATTAATGTTTACAATTATGCACTTATACATACACCCTGATGCATTATATTATATATAAAATTACAGAAATATACGTTTACATATTTATTATAATATATTTACATATTTAATATAATATATTTACATATTTAATATAATATATTTACATATTTCTTTTCATTTTCAACACCGCCAAAAGTGCTTGCCTATTACAATAATGTTGTTTTTATTAAAAACGTTTCTTTTCCAAAGATATTATTGAAAAACAACAGTACTTGGATTTGGTATTTTTATATTAGGTCAAATTGTACACTGCAAGAAGTATTATTATGATTTCAAAATGTTATAGATTTTAAAGTTTTATATTGGTTCGCAACCTAAAACAATTTGTGTACTTAAATTTTAGAAGATAAATGTAAGCCTAACAACTTTATGACATGTCGTGTCAAAATAAAAATGTTAAATGTAAATTTTTGTGATTTGTTTTGATGCAAAGCATCATGCAATGATTATTTTTGGAATACCATTTTTTTTAATTTAAAACATTTTTTTAGAAATATTGTATTTTTTTAGAAAATCCGGGAACTAATGAAAACCGTGTTATAATTTACGTATAGCTAATTTAACATTACAATGCGATGATTTCTTTGTATGCTATAATGAAATTTACTTTGAAACGACCATGAGTGCAGATAAAATACACAATAGTTTTATAGAAAAAAAAATAATATCCATTTCCATAAATAGTCATTTTGTAGCCTTAACATATACATTTTGAAAATGAGTCGCAATTGTGTCTAGCTTAAGCTTAACAGAAGTGCTAGACAAAATACTGTTTGATTTTAGTAGATTTTAGCTTGCAGTGACACCTGATGATATCTGAGATTTCTGTAGGTCAACTTACATTCTGCAGTCATTTTTATATGCCCTATTAAATTATATTTAGAATGTTTTTAACAGTTTAGAAAAAAAATAACTGTTCCTCTCCCCAAATTCTCAATTTCCCAATATGCATGCTAACTATGGCTTCAAGTACTGACTACATGAGTCAGTATTCGTTAGAAAGGCATTGTTACTTATTTAATATATTCTTGTAAGTTTTATAATTGAATAGATTATTAGGAAACTGTAGAGTGGAGACGTAATTTCTCGTTACTCTTCATTAAATAGTTGCATGTCCGGTTTACAATAGTACTGCTGTGTCACAGCTAGGTGGATTTGTTTTTTTTATCTGAAATATTTTTTTAATGTGGGTTTTCTATTTCAGTGGCAAGTAGTTTAAAGTCGCCTTAAACTCAATAGTTCTACGGACTTCATTAATAATCAAATAACGATATCTTTTAATAAATTAATTGATCAATATTTGATTAAAGATTCATTGATTGCATTCATTGATTGACTAATTGATTGACTAATTGAAAGACTAATTAGTCCATTAATTATTAGATGCAATGGATAAAATTCCAACTACTTAAAAAGTAAAAAAATGGATGAAAGGGAGAATTGTTCTTTTCTCTCTGAATTTTAGTTCTTCATTTTATACAGATACCCATAAAAAGACTTTAAACTCCATATTCATCGACTCATAGCCTGGCCGCCGGTTATGAATTATTATTGAAAGTTTCAAATTGAACTGAAACGTTGCTTAAAATTCCAATATTTTCATTTTAGGCGCATTTCATTTAAATAAAAAAAAACACTGCTTTAACTCTATTTCAAATTAACTGTAAACATCGATTATTAAATTAAAATAATCAAAGCAATCGCCATTTTAAAAATCTGAAAAAACGCAAAACCAAATTTTTTTGGTATTTCCTACTTTATCCAAATATAGAAATCCCTGTAAATAAAGGTTGAAAGAACGACTCTCTACTCCTGATCTCCTTCAAGGCTTGATTCAATCAAACGATCTCCAAACCCAACCATTTCTCCGGTATCCTAATCCAACCCTTCTCTCTTCTCCACCCTGGACCCATGTACAAAACCAGGTCCATCATGAGAGTGAGATTCATCCTGGCTCCGGTCAATATCCGGTTCCTCCGCCCAGATCACAATCTTTAAACAATCCATCCGCCATTTCTCCGGCAGGACGAAATTTCAACCATGCTCCGCCCAGACGAAACTCCAACCCTGCTCTGACAGTACGAAACTCCAACCCTGCTCTGACAGTACGAAACTCCAACCCTGCTCTGGCAGGACGAAACTCCAACCCTGCTCTGCCAGGACGAAACTTTCATCTTACTCCTGTGGAAAAAAACTCCAATATTACTCCGACTGGACGAAACTACTCGAACCTCCCACTTTCAAAACCCATCCTGAACCCTGAACCTCCTAGACGATCAACATCTCTCCTAGATCTATATAGATAGCATACTCTTATATTAAGGTCAGGCCTGACACACATGAGCAGAGGGTGTACCATATGTCCGGGACTTGTTTTAAATATATATGATTTGTAAATCCCGGTTTTTAAACCAGGTTTTCTATGGGGATATTCCGAACTCGTCGTATACTCTAGATATACGACAACATTTACATTCAGTTTAACAACGCTTCTGGGTTCATCAGCATATTGTTTTAGTCCTCGTATTTGTTTTAGTTTATCAAAACCTGAGTCTATCATTAGGTAAGTTTTTTCAAAGAATCCCTCCCATCTCCTTCAATCCAACCCTTCCATCAAACCACTCAGATCACGCTGATGTATAACCGTTCGGTCTTTAACACAAAAGTTCAAAGAATACCCACCCCCCTCTCTCTCTACAATATAAGTCACCCCATTTAGACCCATCCATTTTTTTGTAGTATTTTTCGTTGTTTTTTGCTTTGGGCTGTATGTCGTTAAAGTTGTTATACTTTAAATCTCATATATTGAAACTTTAAAGAATTAAAAGTTTTGCCACAATCTCTGATTTGTTTACCCCTATATCCTTGCAACTGATGTCGTGGACCTTTGATATTTCAAACTAAGAATTCTGTTAGATCAAACTCTCTAAATTTGAAATATCAAAGGTGTACACCATCAGGTTGAAGAGATATAGGGATTCGAAAATTTTAACTTCTGGCAAAAACTCAATTTCTTTCTGTAATGTCGTCTCTGAAGACTCATCCTTTGTGGATAATCTTCTTTTTCGCCTTATAGCAATCCCAAACATTGTAAATTGAACTCAAAAATGTGTAGGTATGCTGATCGTGTGACATGCATGGCTGCCAAAACCAGATTTTTTTTTTTTTAAGAAATGTTAACAGAAAGTTCTAGAAAATAATGTTCTCCGTTAAAGTTCACGTTTTAAACTTTGGTTTACAAATTCTCCATTTACGTAACTTTTAAGAGGACAAAAAATATATTAAAAGAATTAACATTACTTGTTGAAATAAGATTTTAAATTTGATGTATAAAACTTTAAAATTTCGATATCATTGTCTATCTCTGATGATATATTCTAACAGTAAATACAATTTTTTTAAAGTAAATAGATATATAATCTGAGATTGGAACTTATATTTCACTTATAATTTATCTTGAACTCTTGATCTCGATATCCATTGTGGGCACTTTTAAATTTGAAGATTGATGCTTGATTCCTAACATAAAAGTTATCTCTGCAGGGTATTCCCATCACGGAATATCTCAATACAAAACTGCTGACTTCTGTTGTGTTGTGAAATAAATTTTATATATAAAGAATCAATTTAAAAAATGTTTCCGTTTGGTTTGTTATTAAATGGTCTAACAGCTTTTTTTCAACGTTTCTTTCACTTTTTTAAAAGGTGCTTATACACCTTTAAAAGATTCTGTCTTAAAAAGTTGACAATTCTTTTAAAGGTGCTGACTTTTTTATGTTAACTTTTTTCTTATGTATTTGTTGTTATTTTTGTTTGTGAAATTGGTTTATTTTACTACCTTAAATAGCTTAAATGTTTTATTATAATATTGTAATTGTTTGTAATTCACTGAATGCCATATCCTGCACAGATTACAGAGATATGACAAGAAATGTGTTTAGTTGAGCGTAGCAGCGTGATAACCTAAAAATGTACTTAATTGTACCCAGTAAACCTAATAACGTTTTCTAGTTTGCCATTGTGGAATAGTGGAATATATTTGGTATTTACCGGTTCAGGAAATTAAGAAAATTAAGATTAAGAAAATTAAGAAAATTAAGAAAATTAAGAAAATTAAGAAAATTAAGAAACCTCTTGTTCTTTCTCTTTAATCTGTGATACTGATTAATTTTATTTAATAACCTTGTTATTATTTAGACCAAGCAATCACGCTGGAATAGCCGTGACCGGAACCTCTGGTGACCTCTACCCAAACCAACAGTCTCCGCCTATTCATCTGACAACCTCTGCCCTACCCCAGTATCCGGCTCCGGCTTCTACGCAGTATCTGCCAGCCTCCTCTCAACAACAATATCCTTCAAATACAAACGGAAATGTCTTCCAAGGCGCGTACATAAACGGCGGTCAAATCAACAATGCTTATAACGGTACGCTACCACAGTACGCCCAGCCATCATACAACTTGACCGGACAGCTAGCTCAGCCTCAGGTATGTACAATACAGCAAAAATATTGTTAGTAGTTATGTACATAAAGAATTTGGTGGATTTGTTAAGTAGATGGTTATGACAAGGCCCTTACAAGATGGAAATTTAGAATCTATGTCTAATGTTATTTTAAGTTAAAGATAAATTAAATCTAAATTTCCATCCCAAACAGTAACAAAATGATGGGGGTAGTGCATGTACATTTTTTTAAAAATATATTATCCAATGTTTTTGTTCCAGAAAAAAAATCATACCAATCTTTAGTATTCTTGGGTTTTTGTTCTTGTACTAATTTTAGAGATCTTGTTCTTGTATTAATTCTAGATTACTTATTCTAGGTTTTTGTTCTTGTATCAATTCTACAGTTCTTGCCCATGTATCAATTCTAGATTTCTTGTTCTTGAATCAGTTCTAGAGTTTATAAGTTAGTTTATGATATCATGTAAAAAATCTATCTTTATCGAAATAATACAAAATTTCAAAATTTTAGAGTTGTTCCTCAATTTTTCTTGATTTTAGAATAGTCGCAAATGAAAACAATATACACAGCAAAAACAAACTTCAAAACAAACGCTTTTTGTTTAATATTTTAAAACTCGCGCTTAAATTAATTTAGATTTATTTTTAAAAATACTTGTTTCTTTGAGCTTTTATTAAACTTGTGTCAACAAATGATGATATTTCTTTTAAAAATATTTTTTTTTTCTTATATTGTTATCATTTTTCTAAAATTTTGATAGTGTAAAGAATGAGTATTAAAGGTGTATCTTCCTTTCTTGAGTTCCGTTCATATACCTAGTAACCGGATATCCGGTGCAACCAGACGTAGAGATTTATACGGAGATATGAAATAAACTAAACGCGTCTCATTAATAAGTTGAATACAGTAATCGAAAAAAAATCAAAATCTTTTTATGATTTAAACATTTTAAAACTTAAATATTTCTTTTGTTTTTTGAATATCTGTTCATAAACTTTCAAAATTCGAATTAGCTTTTTTGAAAATTGACGTAAAAAGTGTAATAATGAAAATTTATTTTTGCTTATTTTTTCTTTAAAATTTCAATAATTTTAATTTTTCTTAACGTCAAATTTAATTTGAAGTTGCATGTTTTACTGATTTGTTTACAAAACAGCCAAAATTGACAAGGGAAGGCAATTTATTTTAAAATTGTAAAAACTGTTTTCTCATAATATGCAATACATATTTAGAATACTGCATGGTCTGTTTGCTGCATCCCATATTTACAATACTGCATGGTCTGGTTGCTGCATCCCATGCATGACATTTCTACAAAATCTTCACTTTGCAAAATTTTTCACACATTGCATTAAATTCTGAACGCAAACAAGATGATTTTTTACTTGAAGGAACTTTCTTTAAACAAATTTATAATGTTCAGCATTTAATTTGTTTTGTGTCCCTTCAATCTAAATATATATCAACATACAATTGTACTCAACTAAAAATTGTACGGGGATTTTAGGTACATATATAAATGAGTAGTACATGAACAGTGTACAGTGAACAGCAGCAATTTTTACACATATCACCCCGCATTTACAGACAATATGGAGGATTCATAATCAAACCTTGAGCAATCGTACTTTTGTATCAAGATATTCGGCTAATTTTCATTTCTTTTCTAACCAATAGTTAGCGCTCAAGGCTAAAGCGCATGCCTGATTTGTGTTGGTCTGCCATTGATGTTACTGAATGCTTAGCTTTCCACCCTCTTCTTTACTCATATATCTGCGTGGGGTCAAATTAAATTTTTTCTAGATGGCCAAATCTGTTCCAAAGTATTCAGATGGAGCTCGGAAAAAACCACCGTTTCTCAAGAAAAATATTTTCCCTGGAATAAGCTCAACCCCCACACAGAACAACTTTAATAGCCCAGTCTCTCTTCCAACCTTGACACAAAACTCATTTCAAGAAATACCTTCAGTATTAACAACCCAGCTACGTCTTCAAGCTGAGTTAAATGACCAATATTCATCTTCGGACAGATCGATAAACATAGATATATTCCAACCAGCACCTCCCAAACCCATTCCAGAATCCCAACCTGGAAAAATATTCTACAGTTCCCATTATAACATGTCGGCCAAAAACATAACTATTGGAAACTCTATAAAACCTTTAAGTACAAATGAAACTCAATATCCCAGTGGACAAGCAATTTTGTCAAATGCATTTTTGGACAGCCAGTCAGTCATTTCAGCTAAAAATCCTGAAAAAATCGTAGAAAATCCTGAAATCATTCGATTGGAAAGAGAACTTATGCCCCCAAAACAGAGCATACCTATCAATAAATCAAATCAACCAAATTTATCAGAGCAGAAATTTCTTCAGTCCAATACTCAGGAGGAATCTCTAATTCAGAAAATAATATTTCCTGACTATCACTCAATGCCCGAACCTTATAAACAAACGGAAAATTTTGAACGTAAATCCTCCTTGAAGAAAAAGACTGCAGGGTTCGACAATCCAACATTTTCATCTGAAAACTTTAGTAATGAAAGCTTGCCAATTCAGACTGATTCAGTAACAAATGTGTACCATGAAAATAGACGCTCAACTCATCCAAATTTTGAAAAGGCTCATGTAAAGTTCAATCAACAAGTTAGAGTAGCAGAACCCTTGCTCAACAAAGTAAACCCAAAAGCTCACAGTATCATAGCAAAAGAACCTCAAAAGTCTCTCAATGAACCAGAAATGCCAATAGAAGTAGCAGCAAGAGAAGTTGCTAGGCGCTCATCTGAAAAACCCTCCTTTTTCCGACTCGACTCAAAAAATACTTCCAAAAAAGGTGCAGATTTCAATAAATCTCCAGCATCTCCTATCAAACAGCCCCCCACCTCTTTACCACTGCATCTCAATAGCAAACAAGAAAAATATTTGGTAAGAAAGGATAGGACTCCATCAAAGGAGAAGGTTTCCCCAGCCGAGGTATCAGCGATGAAGAAGGAAGCAAGTATGCGAATGAATTATTCCTCCAAATCAAAGGCTGGGGATAAAGTTTCTAAAGCTAAAAATTCTAAAACTGAGAAACATGAGCCCAGTAATATGATGCAACAGGGAAACAATGCAGTCCAACAGAGAACATCAGAAAAAAATACAAAAGAAAATATAAATTTCCGAGCTGGATTCAGTAAACGAAAAGAGGCCAGTAGTGAGACTAGTCTTGATACTTCCGGTGAACTAAGTCCTGATATAGTGTCCTCTAATCCTAACATAACGTATGACACTGGATTTTCAGATTTTAAAACAAGTACCAGTGAAATGTCTACCAGTGACTTATCACCAGGTTATGATAGACCAGGGGTGCAGAAGACAGAACAATTTACATTCTTTAACTTTAAAAGCAGGAAACCTTCTCTAAGAAAAGAAAGAACAAGAAAACCAGTGCAAGAAAGTGATTCAAATGTTGAACAGTCATTGGAAAGTCTTGGGAAAGAAAATAACTTCAAGCCAGACAAAAAGATTACTAAAAATGGCAAACCTGAAAAAAACGATTCTTCCGAAAGGCTGGAATACCAGGTGCTTCCTGGTAATAATATGCACCAGCCATTGCAGATCCAATCAATTTTCAAGTTTGGAGGCAACCAAGAGAAACGAGATTTAGAGGGACGTCCATTTTTTAAGTTCAGTGGTGACCAGAAGAAAGGAAGCCTCACAGTGAAAACACGCAGCTTACGGAAGAAAAGTTCTGTAAAGAACAAGCCCATAGACGCTCAAAAAACTAAAAGATCCCCTGCGGTTCTAAAAAATGCAATCTCCTCTGAGAGTACAGATCTTAGTGAAACAGATTTTAAAACTAATTCATTTTCAAACAAGGACCAACCATGCAAGGTGTACCTTCACCCATCTCCTAGCAAGCCAGGGTTGTATCATGATCTGTCACAGAGTAGTGATGGTCTCTCATTTGATCTTGATCAGATAAAAACGTCTACACCTGATGTCTCCTCTTCTTTTACTGAAAAGTTCTCACCGGTTTCTAAACTTGAACAAACCAGTCCTATTATATCAGTTGATGATGAGAAAACTGCTCCATTTTCATTCTTCAAGCTACAAACAGGGAAATCAGAAATGATGTCACCAAGTGATCAGAAAACTGAAACTCTCTTATTTAAATCCAAAGAATCTGCTTCTTCCTGGAACGCAGAGGCTTACTCAGAAGTCAGGAAAGGCAATGAAGCTTCTAAAAATGCTGAGTTTTTTTCTCCTTTAGATTCAAATCTAAACAAAGGGTTTGTTAAGGAAACAAAAGTTGAGAAACCTTCTTCATTCTTTAAGTTTACTAGTAAACAGGAAAAGAAACAGGAGAAAGGTGTTGAGAAAAATAAAGTACCTAAAAGTTCAGTTCCTGAGAAAATTCAAGAACCAAAAATAACTAAAAAAGAAGCTAAAAAGGAAAAGAAGCAAGCAGAAAAAGAAGCTCAGAATCTTGCAAACAAGAGCAACAAGCCTGAACCTGATCCCTTATCATCCAACATTGCCAATCATAGAGAAGTCTCAATGGTACAAACAAAGCCTCCTATTCTAAAGAAAAATATAGAACAGAATGAAGTTGAACCCCCGTCTGAACCTGCTAATTTGGATCCTGAAAACGAGGGGAAGATGAAGTGGTCTTTATTTAGGCAAGGCAAACATTTCTTTCTTTTAAGATTTTAATTCATTTTTACTAAAATTTTCCATTTTTTAATTCTTTTTAATGAGAAATGATTGGTGTAGTGGTTGGGGAAGTAAAATTCAGACAAAGCAAGTAGATGAAGCTCAAGAAATGGCAGTTGAATCTCCTTCTAAAAGGTTAAAAATTGATAAAAGGAGTAGCTCACTGCCTGTTGGGCAAGGTTGGGCTGAACTAGCGAGCTCAACAGAACATGTACCGGTACAGTACATGCAGCCGCGACAAGCTTATTCGACCCAACCATCCGTTGAGATAAGGAGACCCAGTACTCTAAGTCAAAGATCCATTTGTGATGAAACTGACCCAAGCAAACTTAAACCACCGAGTATAAATCATCACAGACAGTCCACTAAGCGTAAATCCTCAAGCGGAAGTCACAAGGTAAATCATTGGTCAATAGATGTAATATCTAAAGAGAAGGAGTGGTGTATGACGTCCGTTATTCAAAACAAGACCAGGCTATGAAACCCCAAATGGGTTTTATTAACTAATGAACACTACGTAAATAGTAGAAAGATACTCCAACCAATCAAAGGTGACATGCACCGCTCTGTCTTGATATTTTTTGGTCTATGTTATGATCTCTATTTGCTGTACTCCCATTTTCATAAACTTATACTGTACAATTGTTCCTGTAACTGTTCTTGTACTAATTCTATGTACTGGAAAGAGAAAACCCCGTTTCAAAATATTTTTTTATTATTTTATCATTGAAGGTACAAATATCTTTTTATATTTTTGTCTTGCTTGCTTTTTATATATAATGAATATTTAGTTTCGCCTCTTTTTCTGATGATAAGATTTTTGTTTCAGCAAACCTTAAAATTTGTTCCGTATTTTTGTTCAACTATTAGACAAGGTGTTAAATTTGGATAAACTTTGTAACCCCTGTTCGCTACCGTGTACGTACATAAAATCTAATGTACAAATAATGTCTACTTTCTATCTATCTATCTATTAATCCTCTTCAATCTGATTCTTTCACAATTGTGGTATACAGCGTGATTTGAAAACATAAGGCAGGGAACTCATGTTTAATGACTAACCCTGTATATACTTCTTTCTTAAAAATTAGTTGACTCTCACAGTAGTGTTTGTATTTTCACTTTGCACAGAAGAATTCAGTTCTTTTAACATTTGGAAAGGACCAAATGGTGTTTATTTTGTTTTTTAAAAGTTTCAAATTGAAAAAGAAAAATTTTCAATTTGAAACTTTTAAGTATGTATTTTGATTGGTATATTTCATGGTGTCCATTTTTAGTTCTTGTTGAAAAAAATACATATTTAGTTAGATTTCATAATAATTTTGAAAAATATAAAAATACTTTTTCTCTCTTTTTCTTTTCCTTCATGTTGCGACTGTTTTAGGTTCAATCTAGACCGAGTATTCCTTCGGGTGTGAGTATGGGTGTGAACTTGAACCCCGAGGGCCGTGTCTCCTACAATCCCTTGAAGGGACCCGGACATGGATCCATGGATTCATTGAACTCCACTCAGAGTTTAACCAACAGCTTGGGATCAACTGGATCCTTCTCATCAAGTAAGTTTAAAACTTCCAAAGTTTCTAATTTCATGGATATTCATATATAACACTTTCCGCGCATTTTTAAATGAACTGAGTTTTTGTCACAAACTCGAATTTTCTAATTCCTACATCTCTGCAACCGTTGATATTTCAAACTTAGAATATTTGATTTAACAGAATTTAGTGTTTGAAATATCTAAGGTATACGACATTGGGTTACAAAGATATCGGGATTATAAAATCAGAGTTTGTGGCAAAGACTCAATTTCTTTGAACCAAAAAAAATATCCTTACTTCGTTGATTTAGGTGAAATGACTAAAAATTTAAACTTTAAACAAACAAGAAAAAGTAAATGTTTTATTTATCATTAAACCCAAAAAAACTTTTCAAAAGTTTTTAAATTTAGAAAATTGAAAACTCCTTTTTTGTTGTATTTAAAAAGTTATAACCATGCATGCTGTATTAGATGGCTCTTGTAACCATAATGGTAAAATGGAAATGGTTGGCAGAACCTATGGTTGGTTTTTTCTTTTATTTTTTGTTTTTTCTTCTTTCACTTTTTTGTATTTTATTAAAAAACTTACATAAAGAAATTTCTAAAAAGTAAAATCTGTATTACATATTTATTAGTGAAAACATATGCGTTATGCAGTATTTACAAAAAGTAATTTTACAACAAATTTTAACAAGCCTTTTCTTAATACAAAATTGATAATTTTAAGATATATATAAAAATAACAGGTTCATAAATAACAAAATTTTACTAACCCTAGCACTTGATCTTTTTACACTGTTTATACACAGATAAACTAACAAAATTATTACTAGCTTCTCTGTCCGTCATAAAATAAGCAAATACAGGGACATAGTGGTGGGATCCCTGAGATTAAATTTGTATGTTTTATATTTTAAACCTTATTTTATTGTTTAGATATCTCTAACCCGATACGGTCCAGTATGAAGAAACCCAAGAATAAGGTAACATTTATTTTAAGACGTTAATTTTTGCTTCGACTGGGTGTTTAGGGCGCTTCGCGCCCATCTTCTATTTCAATTGTGAACATATGTTCTCTTTGTAAACATTTCGTAGATTTTCAAAATTGTCAAAATTTGAATTTTGTTAGAGGGCAATTTTTGAAAACTTGATTATTCAAAAACCTTCCCTGGGGTCACTAGAGGTCCCACAAAAAATTTAGCCCGCTCGGTTCAGCCGTTTTGACGATTATTGGATACAAACGGACAGACAAACAAACAAACAGAAAAGCAAAGTATACATATAGAAGGTCTGTAAGCGTAATTTCAAGTGACCCTCCATGCAAAGATGGCAATGCCCGATTCTCCTCGAAACACTTAAACGCTTTGTATTATCAAATAAGATGTCAATATTTGTATTTTTTAAACTGTGTATTCTCAATTGTGCAGTTTCTTTTAAAAATGGGTTGGGCATTTCTACTACAGTAAAAAAAACATAAGAATTTCCAGAATGAAACACTTTGAGCCTAGAAAAACAACAGTATCTTCCACATTACTAATCAGAGAGAGGTTTCAAGGGTACCGTTGTAAATCAGACATTGCCATCTTTCCATAGAGGGTCACTTGTAACTACGCTGACAAAACCTATTAAACATTATTTCTTTATTACTTTGTTTGAAAGAAAACCAATATGTTTAGGACAATCCTTCTGTTGCCAGCGGTCTCAGCAAAAAATCAGTAACAATTGCCATTGGAGCAGAACAGACAGCTGTTTAGGGAGCCGAACAGACAGCTGTTTAGGGAGCCGCACAGACAGATGTTTAGGGAGCCGAACAGACAGTTGTTAAGGGAGCAGAACAGACAGCTGTTTAGGGAGCCGAACAGACAGATGTTTAGGGAGCCGAACAGACAGTTGTTTATGGAGCCGAACAGACAGATGTTTAGGGAGCCGAACAGACAGATGTTTAGGGAGCCGAACAGACAGTTGTTTAGGGAGCCACAAGACAGCTGTTTAGAGAGCTGACTATAGACAGCTCTTTCATGATCCTAATAAACAGTCGTTTAAGTCTACTAGACTGCTGTTTAGGGAGCCCATTAAACAGCTGTTTAAGGAGCCAAGCAAAACAGCTGTTTTTAAAATTGTGCGGCAGTATATTTCAAACATTCCAAACTTGCTGAAACAAAAATACATATTTTTTTATTTATTGATTAAATCAATATTTATAAGAATTAAAAACGGAATTGTCATATTTCAAGTCACAATTTTTTTTCATTTTGACGTTATTATCGACCTAAAATATCTCCGGTGGGATCTTTGAAAATCTTCAATTAATGCCAAGTTGAAAAAAACTTGTATTTAATTGTGCTGGTAGATTTTTATGTTTAAAATCTGCTTAGGCTTTGTTATTTTAAGAAGATATTTGGATTTTCAAAACAATTTTTTGATAATTTCAGAATTCTTTTTTATTCTTTATCTTTTGAAAGAAGATACGTCTGCATTTTATGATTTATAACATTCCAGGGCGCAACAAAACATTCCATCTATTGCTAGAAAATACTCAGTCATCGATTCAAAATTAGAAAAATTCCTATGTTTTGTACAAAAATTCTTATTTTTAACCTTTTCCAAGGAAAATGTATTATGTATGATAATATTAAATGTATTCTTATTCAAACCGGTTAAAAAATATAGTATAGGAGTCAATGAAAAATGTATAGCTTGTACAGTGAAACCCTTAATAAGTCATACATCGAAAGAATTCATCAAATGTCGTATTCTTCACTTTCTGATAATGGAATGTTGCAGATATTTAGTTTTTTAATTAAATGATTATATTTAAAACTGTTCCCGTTTATTCATGGCTATTTATTTATTTTCGCAAATACTAAAATTTACGTAATATACAGAGAGTCCCATATAATATTAGATAATCTCCAATCTTCAACACCAAAATAAACCCTTAATACTTGAAAAACTTATCATTTTCCGCAAGAAAATTCTTATATAAGCCTTATGTTATTTTTCAAAATGATTCATTCTAATGAAATTTTCTAATTAGTCCCGAAAATCGTAACTTAGACCCGTTCTCGGTCTAATATGATGTGGGACACCCTGTAGTATAAAACTCATTAAAAAATTGTCAAGACGACATTTGATAAATTCTTCCGATGTATTCGTTATTAAGGGTTTCACAGTAGAAAATCTCCTTTTTATGTAAAAGACTGTTGTGAAATAATTGTCCTTATGTCGAATTTTGAATATTTTATATATTATGAATTGCCTGCCTGAGCAACTCAATAAAAATAAATTGATTTTATAACAGTTCAAAGACTCAGTAATTTAACATAAAATTGCACATTCATAAAATAGTCAGCTCTTTTGCTGGAAAACCTTTTAAAAACTTTCTCAATTTTGTATAAACAAATTGTTGTGTGTGCATCAATGATCAAGAAACTTTTTGATTTTTATATTTTGATTAAGATTGAGAGTCTTCAATGATCTTTTACGATTTTAATAAATATTAATAAAAATATTATATTTTCTTTAATTGTTTCTTTTGTGTGTACAACGCTTATTTCAAGATCAAGAGACCAGATTCACAAAGGTACCCTTGAAACCTTTATAACATCAGTAATGTCGAAAATATGGTCGTTTTTAAAAATAATCATCTTCCAAAATTATAATCATTGATCTCTCTAATTCAAAGCTTTTCAGGGTTGGAAATCGGGCCATATTTGCACATGGAGGGTCAATTGAAATTACGCTAACACTCCCTTTAATATGAATTGAAAATGATTACAGAGAAGTTTTCTCAAAAGGGGCGATTTTTTTACTTTCCTCTTTAAAGGGACTAAACACGTAATTTTAAGAGACGCTCCAAAATTAGGTGGCATGTCCGATTCTGAATAATTCCCAATTTCACGTGGATTTAATAATTTTTAGCCAGATTTCCCCAAATACTTGAAGTACAGTACAGAAGAAACAAATCTGTAAGTATAAATTGAATTATGACTTATAGACCAAAACACGTTAATTTCAAATAAAAGAAACTGAATGCTTCTCACTCTGGTTAGTCCGGGGTGCTTTGTGCCCATATCTGGTCAAGGAATAGGAATGAGATATCCTAATTTATAATTGTGTTTATTCTGTAAAAGAGACATCTAGGATAATTATGATTTTCCAAATCTTCAATTCAACACCAAAAGGTGTAAATAAATACATTTTATCCAATTATTTAGATCTTTTTTTACTTTTTTACTTAAAAATTCTTGAAAAACTGTTTCTTTAAATACGAATACAGTGGGGTTACGGCTAGGATCTACCCTACCCCCCCCCCCCTGGATCATTGAAATATATTATTTTCAGGGTGTTTTCAGGCCTCAACGGGTGCTGAGCCTCCCCCCCCCCCGGAAAGAAAAATTTGCCAAATTCCATAATATGCCAGACATAACAAATAAGTTCCACAAACACATTTTTTGGAAATCCGCAAACAAATCTTAAAATTCACATACATTGAGAACCAGAAAACAATGGAATAGGAAGACGACACTACTTCAATACTTCAGTTACAAAGCAAATAGTATATTCACTAATTAAGTTAAATGGGTCTGCTAACACCGTACAAGTATTGTTGTTTAAATTGCACCCCGCGACCGACGGGTTTTCCGACGCTCTTGTACAACTGCTCTATCTCATGCTCATTAGACTATTTAAAGTTAAAACTTGATTCTATATGTAAGAACTATACGGCATGTTTATCAAATCAAACAAAAAAAGAAAATTTTTATTGAATATGTCAATGATGAACTGAACAAGGACATCTAGCTGTATGGAAAAGAATTTATGTGCTATGGTCGACGTGTAAGTCAAAAAGATGTATACTCAACAGAACCCAGCTTCTTAAAATTAAAAATAAATGATATCAAAATTTTCTTGAGTTCTATGTCCTTTAAAATGTTCATCTTTTTTTACGCGAATTTTCAGATATTCTTGGTGTAGAATGCCGCAAATAAATTCCGAGTTATAGAACTTAAATCTTTTTTGTTAATTATAGTGAAAACCATAAATATTTTCCGGATGGTTCCATGGGGAAAATTATAGGCAGAGATATGACAAATATTTTGCTATTTATTTCATATCGCGAAGGTTGGCCATTACGAAGGCAGAAGGGTTTTAAGTTTTACTTAAATAAAGTTTGACATCATTCTCATGTTTCTAAAGTTTCAAACATGATTTAATCATTGCAATACTTTAATCTATCCATTTTGTATGCCCTATTAACGTGGCCAGATTTGTTAAAAGTAGTTTTATATACAATTAAACTAGAAACTTTTAAACACTTAATGATCGAAGGACGAGGATTTCGAAATGGTTTGCACGAGAAAATGAGGAGAATGTGGCTATGACGAGAATTTGTTGCGGCTGGCCTTCCTCCCCTCGTTGAACAACAAACAACGAAACATCATTGAAGACGACATTTTAATATAGCTTGTACAAAATATTAAGTCTTTCATCTTTAGACTTTTTAGTAAAGCTTTTTGCTTTATATATATATTTGTATGCATGCGTATATATATATATATATTTTTATGTCAGCTATAGCTGGTCAAACGGCTGGACCGAATGGGCTGAAATTTTTTTAGGAACCTTTAAGAGGAGTACCCGGCCCGGGGGTAACATATAAGACAAAAAAAAATTTCAAAAATCTGATTATTATTTCTTAGGTCTACTTTTAAAAAGTCCACGGGAGACGCCGGACATTTCAGCTCCTTCAGCTAGTATTTTATAGAATTTTTAGAAGTCCACAGTTCCCAGCAATTCTGCGACATTGTTTAGTTCAATTTTTAGATCAAAAACAGCTATTAAACAATGACATTAAAGGCAGAAGACTTAATTTAAACAAGAAATCATCATATTGAAATAGTTTTAGGTCGTCTTTTCTATCTCATGCTTGATGGATAATCCTGGTTATATGGTCCTAAGCCCCCACCCCCTCCCCTCCGATGTTTTTTTATAACTTACAACAAATAAATTTTTAAGTACAATAGATGGCAACGTAGTATTTGTACACTCTCAGTACAGCTGTATTCTTACATCACAAGTGTCAGCTGAGTATTATGTCCGACAAAATTATTCATAATAAAGACAATTTTAGAATAAAGAGCTTTCCTTACAGTGAAAAAGTGCAATTTTATGTGTTATTTATTTTCTGTTTTTAAACTTTTTTATTTAATCTTGAAAAACATGTCAAATAATGTGAGAAAATTTCGTTTTCTTTGTTATATTTGACACTTGTGACGTCGTGTATAATTTATCCATTTCTCTGTTGCCACCTATTGTACTAAATAATCTATTTGACTTACAAGATTAAATTTTTTATTTATTTTTATATTTTTTATATTTTTATTTTTATTTATTTATTTATAACCTCCATAACACCTAACTATTCAATTTAGCGGTCTAAAATTTTTTAAAACAAGTAGGTCTTGAAAAGCTTGACCAGTTGGTTCAGTTTGAACTACCTCTGATTCTATAGCAGGGGTATACAGGGTTCTCTCTTATACATGGAAGCTCCTTGACGTCGGAGAAAAAATAATTAAATCTCTTAGATAAAACATAATGAACACAGGTCCCTATATATAGCAAATAATATTCATTATTCTTTTATTCAAAGACTTAATTTGCTTGCCTTGTACATTCAAAAGTAACTGAATTTTGTTTTTATGATGAACTTTGTCCTGCAGTTTAAGATTATCTTATAAATCACAAAATGTCTAAATTTTCTAATTTTTTTTTGGTACAAAGACGGTATGTTATTGTAAGTCTCTAAAGAGTTCAACTTTTAAAAAAATTTGAAATCCACCAAAAAAAATGAAAAATCTTCAAAATCAATAAACTGTCTTTTGATAAGAAAAAATGGCTGCTGGGTCGCGAGCAATACTAGAATTAAAAATACAAAAGGTCACGAGTGCACTGGAAATCCAGTTGCAGAAAAAAAAAGATTTAAAAGATTTAAAAATTAAACTAAAGATTTTATTAATAAATATATAAATAAATAAATAGATGATTTTTAACACAATATAAAACATGTGAAATGCTTATTTAAAAATTCTTCCAAATTATATAAAAATAAGCATTTAATCATAAAACAACAATAACAATAACAAAAGTGAAAAAGTATCGATTTCTACAAGCAAAGCAAAGAGGACTTTCTAAAGATTTTCAGTTAACACTGTAAAAAAGCAAGCTAAGTTAAGAATTTAAATATAGGTTTGTTGGTTTTTTGGCTTTTTATGAAACCGCAGTCAGTCTAGTAATTTATCCTCTGTATAATGCCCTCATTATAATTTAAAAAATGACTGAGTTAAAAAGAAAAACATGAACGGTAAAATCAGATTAAAAACTCGTTAAATCAAAATGATTCAAGTTGTGTTGGAAAAAAGTTCCAAATCGAATATTTCAAAATCATCATGGCGTCGACTGTCTACGCTATAAAATACTTAATGCCGTACAAATGTGATGTGAAAGTTATTCTTTCTAAAACTTCATTAAATAAAAATAAATTTTTGTGTTTACAATTCTGTGTATAAGATAACAAGTGTATGTATAACTGACTAAATCTAAATGTGACTCAAATTCGGAATCAACCTCAGCTCAAGAAGGTGTCCCTTGCTGATTTCGTAAAAATAGCAAGATTATCTAAATTTCTGAATTAGCAAAATAAACAAAATTCAATAAAAATTAAAATATAAAAAAAAGTTTTCTTGTTGCTGCTTGCGCCAAAAAAAACGATTCACCGGGAATGTATATTGAAATAGAAATATTTGTATAAAATTGTATAAAAACAGGTTCATTTTACTTGGCCTTTCTTGTTACGTAAATTGGTATGTTTTGACAATGAATGTACAATAACAACATACATTGTACAACAAGAATGTTAAAGAATGAAATTTCTTTGAAAACAGCTCTGATTGATTTTTCAACGTGTAATTAATTTAAAGCTGATTTTAGAGCTGATCAGTGCGGCCCTGGCTGATTATTACAATTTTAGCTTTTTAAAACCTTCAGCTGATCATAATCAGCATCTGATCAATATCAGCAACTGATCACAATCAGTAGTTGATTACAGCTGATTAAAATCTGCAGCTGATGACAATCTACAGCTGATTACAATTAGCAGCTGATCAAAATCAGTAGCTGATAACCATTAGCAGCTGATATTGATTTCAACAGCTGACTACGAATCTATAGCTGATTACAATCAACCTCAACAATTTCTCCGATCTTTGGAACATCAACAAACTGATAAACTAGTCGTTGTCCGTCAACTTTAGCCAGAATACCTCGCTGGTAATAGTACCTGAATCATAAACAACATTTTAAAAATGGCGACATTCATTGTCTACTAAATCCCACTGTTTGTTCAATCAGTGTACAGCAGATTACTGAGTACGTATCGAAAGCTTAGAATATGGTGCCTTACACAGGCTAAACAGAGCTTGGAACTTTAGCATTAGATACTCATAATCCCGATCCCTTGATTTCTACCGTGGACACTTTTAATTTGAAGATCAATCCCTTGATTTCTACTGTACTAGACACTTTTAATTTGAGGATCAATACTAAATCCCTCGATTTCTACTGTAGTAGACACTTTTAATTTGAGGATCAATACTTAATCCCTTGATTTCTACTGTAGTAGACACTTTTAATTTGAGGATCAATACTTAATCCCTTGATTTCTACTGTACTAGACACTTTTAATTTGAGGATCAATACTTAATCCCTTGATTTCTACTGTACTAGACACTTTTAATTTGAGGATCAATACTTAATCCCTTGAATTATACCGTATTAGACACTTTTAATTTGAAAACCAATACTTAATCTCTCACTTTCAGTTTTTTCTCCCCTGAGCAAAGCTCCCTTCAACCCCTGGCTGGGTATGATTACCATGCGTGCCATCGAATAAAGATTAAACTAATCTGGAGATTAACATTAGATCCAGATCAAGTATTGATCTGGATTTCCACAATTCAAGAGTTCCCAGCTCAAGATCCTTTTGAATTATTGTTTTCTTTATACTTTTTTTAATTGTAAAGTTTCGCTAATCCATATTAGTTTTGTAATTTTAATCTTTTTCTTGTAAATTCTTTCTTTATAAAAAAATACTAATTTTATTAAAAATTTCAATAGTTTGCGCTAACTGTAATCGTTTATCGTTTAATAAAGTGCTGAAAACCGAAGATTTTTCTAATTTTAGATCAATGAACTCTGATACATTTCGGAAAATGTCGTCTTCGTATTATTTGTTGATAAACCAAATTACCTCAATGCCCTGCCCATGGTTTCATAGTTCATGTCTGGCTTGTTCTTATGCAGACCCCAGAGCCGACTCACAGCCTGTATTATAGTCATAATAATTTAACATTAGGGATAATTACTTTATACCACGTCTATAATGAATTTTACCGTAAAAATGTTTATATTATTTTATTTTTTTCCTTTATCCCACCCTGTTATATTAAAATTTTCTGATACAACCCTGAATAATTCATGTTTTCTGAAACACCCTGCAATATTCTCATATTTTCGAAAACACCCTTTAAAGTTCTATTTTTGGATTACAACTCTGTAGTAATAATGAAGCACCTGGTAATTGTTATAAATTAATATATATATATGTAAATATTAAAAATGTTATATAGAATTAATATATATTAATCCTCAGTAGATTAATATTAATATATTATGCGTAGGAAGAAAGTGTAATAATCAAAATTATGCTACGTAGTAAATCCGATAAGAATGTGGTATAATATATAATATGTAAATTTTATATAGAATTAATCTAATTAATGAGGATGGCCGCAAGGCATAAAACATAATGTAAAGTGAGATTATGAAATATGTTAAAATGTTTTAATTTGAAGCTGATTCTTTGAATATTTATATATTTATTATATATAATATATAATGTTTTGTTTTATAATATAGATGATTGATATATATATATACCTATATGATAAAACAAGACATTAGTATATGTACATGTTGCCTATAGCCGGCCAAACGGCTGGACCGATTGGGCTGAAATTTTTTATGGAGACTCATGGGTGGGTTTATAGGCAAAAAAATCTTAATTTTTTCTCAAAATTTGTTTTTTTCAAATATTTTCTCTTTTTTTCCACGGGCAACACCGGGCCTTTTAGCTAGTATATATATATAAAATGTAATTGTTCAAAAAATTTTGACTACTGAGGATGGTCATGAGACATGAAACATTTTGTTTAGTATAATTCTGTTTTGAATGAAATGTGAAGTTTAAAAACTTAAATACATATATATATATATATATATATATATTGATTATTGATTATATATAATTGTGCAAAAAACGGAACCAAATTTGCTGAATTTTGTTGAGGGAACCCTTGAGTATCCCGGGGTAAAAACTGAATTTTAAATTGAAAGAAGTTAAATTTAATAAAAAAAAATTTTATTTGAAATGTTATTTTGCTTGTATTTTTAATTTTAGCAAGATAATTCATACCTTGCTGTCCACAAGCTTAAATATTCCCTTCTCTCTGTTACTCCATTTTATATATTTAGGACAACAATCCTTATCCTAAACATAAACTGTTCTTAATCGTTAGGATCGTATTCTTCAATAAAACTTCAACGATTGCTGTTTTATGTTAAAGTTTGCTTTTATTAAAACTTCTTATCTTTGACCTAACCAAACAATAAACTGGAAAAACGATCCGAAAACAATCTTTACGACAGGGTTGTTTTTTAATCGTTTTTGCATCGCTTTTAGATCGTGTTTTGCTTCGTTTTTGGATAGTTTTTGCACTTTTTTGTTTGTTTTGAATGTAACTTCTACCAGGGTTAATATTTGACATGGTATTAGAATCTAAATGTTCGGAATAAACAATTTAAAATAAATTTGTTTTAAACTAAATTTTGACTATGAAAGAAAATCTGAACCAAAAACTACACTGAACCAGAAATATCGGAAATAGGAAGACGACCTTATAGCAATACTTCTGTGTATTTGTTGTTACAAAGCAAATAGTTTTATTAGACACTTATAAAATACTAAGTAAGTGAAATGGGTCTTTTTACATTGCACAATTGCCGTGTCCTATGCTGATTGGACTACATATTTAGAGTCTAAAAGTCGTCTTCCTATTTCAGAGTTTTCTGGTTATCACTGTACCAAAATACAAACCACCTGAAGGAACTTTTTGTAAGAAGCCGCTAGTAGTAGTTTCTACAGTGCCGAAGAAACAAAAGTACGATATTTCAAATATACTTCAAGGAAAACAGCATGAAAGGAGAGGAAATGTTAGACAAGGGCCTTGGCCTGGCACCACTTCAAAATTAACCCGATCATTGCAGTTTTTGATCGTTGAAACTTACGTAAATTTTGTGCTTTCTAAATACAATTGATTGATTGATTTATTGTTTACCTGAAGAAGCTTTAGCAGAAACTCCCAAAGATATGTCGTTGTTCCTTCTCTACTCTTTCTCTTACAGGGTATACCATCAGGACCAATTTTAGGAGGCCGGGGCTTCTTCCGTTTCCCCAGCTTCAGGGAACTTGGAAACCCAGGATATCCGGGACTACTTCCAGTATACTCCGTCTTGGTATCATTATTATTAGTTTTTGGTATTATTATCTTTATTATTATTATTATTATTATTATTATTATTATTATTACTATTATTATTATTATGATTATTATTACAAACCTGTGAATTATGTTGAACGTGACCAATATTAACCCCTGAAGAGTTAAACGAAGAGAGAAGTGAAGGCAGACTGTAATAAGTAAAAAGTAATTTTATAAATTCTAAAAAATGTCAAAAAATGTGAACGGATGTTAATTTATATTTGTTGCCTGGTGTTATTGTGCTCTCGATACTGATGAGAATAATTGTACATCAAGGAATAATTCTGTTGTCTACTCTGTCCGGTCTAAATCAAGCATTTAATCAATCAATTAAATCAATCAATTAAATCAATCAATTAAATCAATCAATTAAATCAATCAATTCTTTGGGATTCTTCTAATTATATTTGACAATTATTTTGCTTTTGAATTTTTAGGAGGACAAAATTTAATTAAAAATTATATCCTTGAGAACCTGAAAATTGTATTTTAGATATTATAGTTATTATTTATCTATCCTTCCTTAGCCATAAACGCTGAAATCTTCAGTTTGTATACTCTGTGATGAAAACTGAATGTTGTATTTTAAACTGTCTGAATCCTGAATCCTGTATCCTGTATCCTAATCTTGAATACTGAAACTGTATCCTAAACCCTATTTAATGAACACTGTATCCAGAACCATTTATCATGAACCCTGTACCCATTACCCTGTACCCTAAACACTGTACCCTAAACCTTGTACCCCGAACCCTGTATCGTGAACCATGATCATGAACCTAGTATCCTTAATTCTGTATCCTGAACCCTGTATCCTGAACCCTGTATCCTGAACCCAGTATCCTAAACCCTCAATCCTGTATCCAGGTACCTCCTATACCTGGTAAAAGTGTGAGAATACTCCTGGAGAATCAGGACCAGTCACTCCTAAACTCCGAACCCTGAATTTAATTTATAATTAATAAAATAGATTAATTTAATTTTTATATTAACTAAAAGTGCAAATTTAATGGAATAATTACCAAAGCATAAATATAATTGACGGATGAGAAAAGTTTGGATGAATCAATAAATTATTTATTCAACACAGAGGACGAAACTTTTAAATAATCGCTAATTTCAACGCCTAAACTTTTAATTCAAGCAGATTATATGCTAAATCTGTAAAACAATAACTGAATGGTATTTTTACAATCTCGTATTGTGTAGTATTGTTAAACAGAAGTAATGGTGTGCTTTTTTTTAAATGGAAAACTATCCAATAACGATCGTTAAAACACGTTCGATTTCGAATAGTTTTTGGGTGGTTTGGGCCTATATTTCCTGTTCAAGTCAAAATTTGGAAAAATATTCATAATTTTAGATTCAACAATTTTGAAACCGATTCAAAAAGAAAGAAAATATTGACAAAAAACGATCCAAAAACGATCCAAAAACTATCCAAAAACGACCCAACGAAATGTACATCACCTGCTGTCAGGTTTCTAATTGTTAGATATCCAAACGAAATTAACTTAATCCGTTCTACTGTAAACAAACGGATTAATGAATGGATTAACTTTACCTGTTATCGTCTGAGCTCTGAGAAGAAGAGATAGCGTCGATATCTCCAGGTTTACCAGTGGAGGAAGGAGAGGATTTACCTAAACAGACAATTTATTCAAAACCAGAAATAATAATAAATACTCCCTCAAAACCAGAAATAATAATAAATACTCCCTCAAATCCAGAAATAATAATAAATACTCCCTCAAAAAATTGTTATCACTAAAAATTCTAAAAAAATCGACCCTGTCTATTTCTTAAAAATTTGTTTAACTGAAACAAAAAAAAGAACAGCGTTTTTTAATTTTAAGAAAAGAATAAATTTTCAAAATTTCAGAAATCAACTAAACCTGAAATCATCCATTGAGCAACAGTTTTCCCTTCATCACTTCTTATCATCTGACTTCCGATATATTCCACTGGAAATAGATATATTCCACTATAAAAAGATATATTCCACTAGAAATAGAGAAATTCCACTAGAAATAGATATATTCCACTACAAAAAGATATATTCCACTAGAAATAGATATATTCCACTAGAAATTGATATATTCCACTAGAAATAGATCTATTCCTCTAGAAATAGATATATTCCACTAGAAATAGATAAATTCTACTAGAGATAGATATATTCCACTAGAAATAGATATATTCCACTAGAAATAGATATATTCTACTAGAGATAGATATATTCCACTAGAAATGGATATAATCCACTAAGAATAGATATATTCCACTTTAAATATTTATAATCCAATAGAAATACATATATCCCATATGCACTGGAAACAAATGTATTTTAGTGCATTTCAGAAAATGAATATACTCAGCTAGAAAATAAATATATTCCACTGGGGAAAAATGTGTCACAAAAAATATCAAAATGTAAGAAAGATTTTTTTAAATGCGTTCATTAAAAAAAGGATTTGCTTTCTATTTCAAAAGTTTACAGGAACACCAGAATAATCAAAGGCTAATTTTGGTTAAATAGTCGCTTAACATAATCTGTAATTCATCACACGTCAATTGGATATATTGATATATTTTCAATTTTCAATTATAATTCCTTGATTTGAGGAGCTATTGAGAAGAAGAGCCATGTTTTGAATTTCTAGTTTGTAACCGGTTATATTTGCTTTACTAATTCTAGAAGATACTATGCTAGAAGATACCAGAAATATCTCATTAATTTGACCTTCTCCTTCCTTCTGTCTATTTCCCAATAGTCTGATCAATAAAATTAGTTTTGTAATTATGAATTAGAAATATTAGACTTACAAGATCCGATAACATTATCAATATCTTCCTCTCCAATACTTGGCAATTCCTCTTCTTCTTCTTCTTCTTCTTCTTCTACTTTCTTACTTCGATCATCCTCACCCAACCTCTTCAACCTCTGGAGGACACCCTCCTCCTCCCCCGCCCTCTTCAACCTCTGGAGGACAATATGGTTGCTAGAGGATGATGGTTCCCCCTTCACCTACAAATAAATTTTCAAGGTTTAGAAAAAACTCGCAGATTTTGCTCGAAAGCCAAACGTGGATTTTTTTGATCAAAATGGCATCCTTAATTTCAAGTGTTTTCTTAATTAACGAAGGGTATGTTAAATTCACAACGGTATCCTTGAAACAATTATCTGAGAAACAGTAAGAAAAATATTGCCTTTTTTCATATGAAAAGGGTTAAATTCTACGAGAATTTCTCTATTTGTTTCTGCAAACTGCACTCTTATATTAATTGTAAATTTCAGATTTAAATAATTTACGGTTTTTTTACGAAAGTTTTCTGGGTACCACGTACCAGGCATGCTCCTATCGTAATTAACTTGAAATTCTGTCGCATGACTCTTTAAGTTTTTTGTAAATAGATTTGCTATCTATACATGAAGGGTCATTTTGAATTTAGATGGAAGCGGACTTGAAATTTAGATGGAGGAAAAATTTGAATTCAGGTGGAGAAAAACTTTGAATTTAGATGTAGAAAAACTTTGAATTTAGATGGAGAAAAACTTTGAATTTAGATGGAGGAAACTTTGAATTTAGATGGAGGAAACTTTGAATTTAGATGGAGGAAACTTTGAATTTAGATGGAGAAAAACTTTGAATTTAGATAGCGGGAAACTTTGAATTTAGATGGGGGAAAAATTTGAATTAAGATGGGAGGAAACTTTGAATTTAGATGGGAGGAAACTTTGAATTTAGATGGAGGAAACTTTGAATTTAGATGGGAGGAAACTTTGAATTTAGATGGGAGGAAAACTTTAAATTTAGATTAGGGAAAAATTTGAATTTAGATGGGAGGAAAACTTTGAATTTAGATGGAGGGAAACTTTAGATTAAGATGGAAGAAAAATTTGAATTTAGATAGAGGGAAATTTTAAATTTAGATGGCGGGAAGCTTTAAATTTAGATGGCGGGAAACTTTGAATTTAGATGGAGAAAAACTTTGAATTAAGATGGCGGGAAGCTTTGAATTTAGATGGAGGAAAACTTTGAATTTAGATGGAGGAAAAATTTAGATGGCGGGAAGCTTTGAATTTAGATGGTGGGAAGCTTTAAATTTAGATAACGGGAAACTTAAAATTTAGATATAGGAAAAATTTGCATTTAAATGGAGGGTTACTTTGAATTTAGATGGAGGAAACTTTTTCAGGAATTTTTTAATTAATTATTCTAAGTTTACCTCTACATCCCAAGGTTCTTGTTTCACGAAGGTTTCCTGCTTTATCTTGTTCTTGTTTCTACACAAGAACACAATCAAATACTTCTATCAATATCCAAAATAATTTTAGTAGAAAGTAAACAGTTTTATTAAAAGTAAATAAATTATCTTTATTTATGAATTATTTTTTGATTTGATTTGATATATTGAATTATTTTTCGGGGTTATTCTAAATTAGAAAATAAAAATGTTTAGAGAAACATTTATTCAATCTAATCAGGAATAACACGAATATAGGAAAATCCAGTTTAGTAGATTTAGCATTTTTCAAACAAGCAAAAAATGAATAAAAAAGGTAAATGATTATGTTGCCTGATATCACTGCTTGAATCGGGTTGCTGGGATTGGTTGGGATCCTACAACAAGAATATTGATTGGTTGGGATCCTACAACAAGATTGACTATTTATTGGTTGGGATCCTACAACAATAAGAATATTGGTTTGTTGGGATACAACAACAAGAATTTTGATTGGTTGGGATCCTACAACAAGAATATTAGTTTGTTGGGATCCTACAAAAAAATATTGGTTGGAATCCTACAGCAACAATTTTGATTGGTTGGGATCCTACAACAATAATATTAATTGGTTTGGGATCCTGCAACAAGAATATTGTTTGGTTGGGATCCTACAACAAGAATATTGGTTGGTTGGGACCCTACAACAAGAATATTGGTTGGTTGGGTTCCCACAATAAGAATATTGGTTGGTTGGGATCCTACAACAAGAATATTATTTGGTTGGGATCCTACAACAAGTTAAGAATATTGATTGGTTGGGCTCCTACAACAAGAATATTGGTTGGTTGGGATCCTACAACAAGAATATTGATTGGTTGGGATCCTCCAACAAGAATATTGATTGGTTGGGCTCCTACAACAAGAGTATTGGTTGGTTGGGATCCTACAACAAGAGTATTGGTTTGTTGGGATCCTACAACAAGAATATTGGTTGGTTGGGATCCTACAACAAGAATATTGGTTGGTTGGGATCCTACAACAATAAGAAAAATACAGTGAGAACTAATAAACAGAAGAATGATTACTGTCTTCGTTCTTTTTTTTAATAAGAATACAATTCAATCTGTAATTTTTATAGTTATATCTTAAAAATGTTTGTCGATTATATCATTTGTTTATTGCTAAGCATTTTGGATACTTTTTAATTTACCGAATGCTTTGAAAAAAAGATTTTAATGTAACATAATAATAAAAAATGTTTAATGTAACATAAAAATTAAAAATGTTTAATGCAACATAATAATAAAAAATAATATGAAAAAATAATAAATGATTACCTCTAAAGGTTCTAGTTTAATGGTCGGAGGGGAAATCGTTTTAGTTACTCCACATCTTTTCATTAATTTATCTAAATATATATCTGTATAAAAAAGCCCTTCGCTTATATTTCTACATATATTCACATATGTGTTAGCTAAAGCTGGCGAAACAGCTGGGCCGAATTGGCTGACATGTTTTAAGAAAAACCCTTGTGTACCCCAGGGATAGTATATATATGCTTAAAAAAATTAGTTTTTTTTGAAATCTTAATTTATTTTTCAAAAATCGATTTTTTTAAAAATTCGATTTCTTTAAATTCCACGGGCAACGCCGGGCACTTCAGTTAGTTATTGTTAAGTTACTCTTTTTATTAATTTATCTAAATATATATATAAAGTTGTAATCTCTGTTTGTCTGTCTGGGTGGCTGTTTGTTTGTTTGTCCGATCATCACTCAGGAACCCCTGGACTGATTTGTCTCAAATTTTGGTTGGGGATTCTATGTTGAGTGGGTCGACTTTAATAGCGAAAATTTAGTTTCCCGGTAAAATCGTTCAAGTGCGGGTAAACGGCGGTGTAACTTTTAGTAACCGGGGCAGCACTGGGTTCCCAAGCTTGTATCTATATATTATTATCTAATTACTTCATATATTTTATTAATTTATCTAATATATCTTATTATTTAGTTATTCCACATCTTTTTATTAACTTATCGAAATATTTATTAGAATTAAATTACTTCACAATTTTTCATTAATTTATCTAAACAAATACTGTAAGATCCATAAAAATGTGGAACGTGAAGAAGAGTGTTAGACTCAAAAAACAATTGTACAACGTGTACATAAACACAGACCGATTTCTCTAGTTAGGTTGATTTTCATGCTTTTGCTTAAATATTGTTTTCTTAGGCTACAGTTTTATGAATCCCAGTGTAAAATCATTTATCTTAAAAGATATAATTCTTTTATGCTATTCATCCTAATTAATGAAACTAATGAATAACCTTCAATAATAATAATAATAAATATTTGAAAATATTTGATTTTTCCAACAAAATGGCGTTTATATATAATTTGAATTAAATGTATAAAGTGTGAAGGATAAATCAAGGGTAAGGTTTACACGTCATGGTATTCAATTCTGCCATTATCAAGCCATCACCCCCACCCCCTTCCTCCCCACCTGCATAATTAAATGTGTTAGTTTTAAACAACCCCCCTCCCCCCACCAACTTCAATATGAAATAATTTGCTTTACAACTTTTTTATTTTTTTTTTTATTTTCCATTTTCTGGTTTATTACAATTCTTTATTATTCTTTTAATCTTTTTTATTGCTTTTTCCTTCTATATCCACCTTTAACGTTGTCCAGGTTCTTAACCACCAACAAGATTTGTTTCCCCTCATGAGGAATTATATTCTTTTGTGATATGTATATACATATATATACAATTTATTGTCTAAACTATATGAAATCTTCGTGCAATAAATATTCGATTTGATTTGAGATGACTCATAAGTCAAAGTAAAGCACAACGTTTGCCCGCGCTTGCCCGTGAAAATTCAAAAAATGTTTAGCCTATGTCACCCCATGGGTTCCCAAAAAATATAAGCTAATTTGGTTCCAGTCGTTTGGCTTGCACCCCCCCCCCCCCCCGCTAGGTTGTTAGTGTATTCTGACTATCTGTGAAGGCCTGGTTTACAGGGCTACTATGTTCAGCCCTAACCTTGAAATCTAGTAAAATCCTCGGTCTTAAGTTTACAGAGTATTAAACTATCATTAAAATTATCAATTTATAATTTCGTATTTTAGCAAAATTTATAATGACAGAGATTAAAACGTTTAAAAAAATGGCTAACTTTAAAGAAAAATTGACAGTTTAACCGAAAACGATTATTTGAATCAATTTTTCAAAATGTGAAAAAAATTTAGATAATAAAACATCAATTCATAAATTATAATAAAAGTATGTTTTTCGAAAGTAAAGTGATAAAGTAAAATTTATTTATTATTATTAAATCGATTATGATTGAAGAAATGTTATTTTAAAGATCAACAAATCAATTTTCATTCACAGAATCTGAACATCAAAAAAAAAGCAATTAAGGGACCGTAGAAGTAATTTCAATTGACCTTGCAGAGTGGCATCTCACATGTACGATCAAGAGTGACGGAGATATCCTTTTTTCCTAACTATAGATTGAGTGCCGGAATATACAGGGTGTCCAACGAAACATGACAATGGCAAGACGACTTGAGAGTCGTCTTTGAATTTTGAATTAATTTGTGACATTCATTCGTCAGCCTAATTTTACATGTATGATTCTTGAAACAATAACCACACAATCCTCCTAGTACTGGCATTTCCAAAATGTGGTCTGCCTTTTCTGTGCTGTCAATATTACAGAAGATGTTAAGAATTTCGTTCTTCATATCTCTGGTAATATTGAAAGCACATAAAAGACAGACCACATTTTGGAAATATCAAGACTAGGGGTATTTGAATTTGACTTTTAAACTTAGGTTTAAGAATAAATGCCGCCAATTACTTCAAAGATCAAAGACGACCTTCCATTCCTCTTGCTACTGTCATGCTTTGTGGGACACCCTGTACACTATGCATGAAGTGAACCATAATAAATGTAAAACATGTGATACAAAAATTACGTCTATAGGGCCCTTTTATTTTATCTTTTAAAATGTTTACCTCTACATCTGTCTCGCATTACACTGAGTGTAACAGATTCCTGCTTCGAGTTTATTATACTGTGATTTGAGTGAGTGGAGAGTGGAGAGTGAATGCCACCATTTGAGTGATTAATGCCTTCTCGAAACTCTCTGTGTTGCAATAATAATGCCTTGGAAATGTTCTCATTGAACCCCAGTGTTCCAACCAAACCAAACTCTGTATTCCGCAGATTGTTGTTGTTTTCTGGAGTTGTTTGTGTCCCGGCTTTGCGGGCAATTATAACTTTCTTGAATGTTTGTTGTTGTTGTTCTCCGCTGTATTCGCCCAGAAACCGGTCTAATTCCAAACTAAAACCGGTTGTAAATAGTTCAGACCCGTTCAAATCTCTGGGAGCAAAACTTGTTGAAAATCTAATCATCATCCATTTTATTTTTCAAAAAGTTGTCTGTTCCAAATAAAATAAAAAGTTTCTTTAGTTTGTTGAATCCCGCTTTCTTTGTCAAATCAAGTTTGTTATGATTTAGTCAATATGAATTATATCAAAATATAGACTTTGCGGTCGTCTCGTGTTTATACTTCTACTACACAATGTTTAAGATATACAGATAATATAGATAGAATAGTTAGACAGCTAGATAGATGGATAGATAGATAGATAGAGAGATAGATAGATATATAGATGGATAGATAGATAGATAGTTAGATAGATAGATAGATAGATAGATAGATAGATAGATAGATAGATAGATAGATAGAAAGAAAGATTAATAGATACATAGATATATAGATAGATAGATAAACAGCTAGATAGATAGATAGAAAAATAGATAGATAGATAGATAGTTAGATAGATAGATAGGTAGATAGATATATAGATGGATAAATAGGTGGATAGATAGATTAATAGTTATATAGATAAACAGCTTGATAGATGGATAGATAGATAGATAGATAGAAAGATTAATAGATACATGGATATATGTATAGATAGATAGATAGATAGAAAGATTAATAGATACATGGATATATGTATAGATAGATAGACAGCTAGATAGATAGATATATAGATAGTTAGATAAATAGATAAATAAACAGCTAGATAAATGGATAGATAGATAGATAGAAAGACATATAGATAGATAGATAGATTAATGATAGACAGCTAGATAGATGGATAGATAGATAGATAGACAGCTAGATAGATAGATAGATAGATAGATAGATAAATAGATAGAAAGACAGATAGATAGATAGATAGATAGATAGATAGATAGACAGCTAGATAGATAAATAGATAGATAGATAAATGGATAGATAGATAGATAGATAGATAGATAGATAGATAGATATATAGATAGATAGATAGATAGATAGATAGGTAGATAGACAGCTAGACAGCTAGATAGAAAGATAGATAGATAGATAAATAGACAGCTAGATAGATAGATAAATAGATAAATATATAGATAGATAGCTAAACAACTAGATAGATGGATCATCTGAAATCTGGTTTCTTTCAAGGTCTTAGCTGCAAGGTCAAGTTTGACTCTACTATTGTGAGAAATTATAAAATATGAAAGTAAATATTTTGCTAATATATAATACGCAGTTAGTTAACATTTTGGTGATGAACATTATTTCCAGTTCTCCTGATCCGTCCTACTCTCTCTATTCAGTGCTCCTGATCCGTCCCTTTCTCAAAATAAGTGTCCTCATGATCCGTCCTATTCTCCCTATTCGGTCCTCCTGATCCGTGTCTTTCTCCCTATAAGTGTCCTCCTGATCGGTCCTTTTCTTCCTATTAGTGTCCTCCTGATCCGTCCTTTTCTTCCTATTAGTGTCCTCCTGATCCGTCCTTTTCTTCCTATGAGTGTCCTCCTGATTCGTCCTTTTCTCCCTATTAGTGTCCTCCTGATTCGTCCTTTTCTCCCTATCTAGTCCTACTGATTCGTCCTTTTCTCCCTATTTAGTCCTCCTGATTCGTCTTTTTCTAACTATTAGTCCTCCTGATTCGTCCTTTTCTCCCTATTAGTGTCCTCCTAATCCGTCCTATTCTCCCTATTCAGTTCTCCTGATCCGTCCTTTTCTTCATATTTAGTCCTTCTGATTCTTCCAAATTGAGAAAACGTTAATTAATCAAATATTGTGATTATTATATCAATATTCCACAGATTAAGATATTTTCTCAATATTTCATATCGTATTTGATCTGTAAAAATCTGTTTGTGGAGATAATTGATTAAACGTCATTATTTTGTACAAACTATCCTTAACCCTAACCCCATTGGGACATTTTTTGTCTAATATAGACTTGAGATATGGGGAGTGTGATACATGTCCCTAGTCCAACTTTTCAAGGCCTGCTCATTAAAAATCTATCTTTAGGGTGCAATGGAGGATTTTAAAAAAGTCCAAAAAGTACGTCGGAAAAAAATTGAAAAATAAATATTTTTACTTTTGACAAATATTAAGATGTGACACATGTTATTAAATCCATTTTCAAGGCCTTTTAAATTTATAAATTTTAGCCCTGCAGCTTTATTGATACAAAAGTTATTTACCATTTCTGATTTTTTTGATACACCGACCCGCCGTTTGACCACTCTTCCCTTTGCATCAAAATAAAGGTTTTGCAAAAATTGTTCACAAGTTGAAAAAGTGAAGAAGTTTTAGCTTTTAATGTCAGCCGTTTTAAAGTTATTAAAAAATTATACAGTATACAATATGCAGTATACAGTATACAGTATACAATATGCAGTATACAGTATACAGTCTACAGTATACAGTCTACAGTCTACAGTCTACAGTCTACAGTATACAGTATACAATATGCAGTCTACAGTATACAGTATACAATATGCAGTATACAGTATACAGTATACAATATGCAGTATACAGTATACAGTATACAATATGCAGTATACAGTATACAGTATACAGTATAAAGTCTAAAGTTTACAGTCTATATATATATGACTATATATGACTATATATATGTCTATATATATGACTATATATATGTCTATATATGACTATATATATGTCTATAGATATGTCTATGTATGTCCTTGAACTATGGTTTTGAAGGTGATGTCTACTGTCAGCTCTCTTCTATTCTATTTCGATACAATTTAATGTTCTTTTCACGCACCTTACCCTCCTCCCCTCCCTCCCCTCCCTACAACCTTCCCTCCACCACTCACTGAGATAAACAACTCTGAAAGTTCATTAAATGTTTAGTCAGCCTCGACTTTAAAGTGTCGCGACGCCTTGGCCTTTGATTTTACCTCATAAACTCACTTTTTTGAAGCTCTGGGTATAAACATTTTAACTTAAATTTAAAAGAGACCCCCCCCCCCCTCCCCACCCTTCCACAGTTGGGTATTATGGGGGAGGGGGTCAGCCTAAATGAGTTTATTCCATAAACCTCTTATTTATGTCAAATAACGCTTGGCCGCTTAAGAATTCTTTTTGAGAGAAGTCTCTAAGTTGTTTAAATTTTATGTTGTAGTTAAGAATTTCGACCGAAAACCCGCTTCATTGAAAACTCTTAAAATCGGATTTTTCAACACGCTACTCTGACTAAATCAAAGTTATGGCGTTCTGCCGACGCCCCTAAATCTTTTCTTTATGGCTGTTTGAATCTATTTATATATATCAATAAAAAAATCTACGACAGGAAACTTTTGCAATAGAAAAATCCGAGATTTGATAGAGTTTACAATCCGATAATATATCCTGGGGACAAATTATTGTTTTTAACAAGTTTCCTCATGTCATGGGACATGCTGGATTCTGAAGAGTCTGAGTTCGGACTGACCAGTGTGGCCAACTCAGGTCCCACCAGCTCAGACAGGTCGGTCAGGTCGTTAGGGTCAACCTCGGTCACAAGCTAAACATGGGTTTTGTTATAGTATAAAACTCTGGAATAGGAAAACGACTTTTAGACTCTATTTATGATTTAAAATAGTGTAATAAACATGAGACATAGGTGTTGTGCAGTGTCAACAGACTCATTTCACTTAATAATGACTTGATAAGCTACGAGTAAAACTATTTGCTTTGAAGGAACATCAAATTCACTGAGGTGTTGTTTTAATTTTTAAAGTGTTTTTATCTTTTTATTTTTTTATTAATTTATCATAATTTTGTATTTAAACTATTATTATTATTATAATTTAATCAGCACCTGTGGTGCTAGGGGCATATTAACCATATCCCCGTCCACATCTGGATCCCAGAGAAAGGAATTGTTGGATATAGTTGAGACGGGGGGCAGCTTGATCTCCTTACCCTGCAATTAAGTAAACAGTTAAAGGGGACGTTGGTTTCTTAGTTTTTATCTTTTTTGTTTTCTCCTGTTTCTTTCGTCACCAACTCTTCCATGATTTGTTTTTTCTCTCTCCCTTTTTAAGTTCTCTTTTCTCAACCCCCCCCCATTCTCACTTCTTCACCTGTTATAGCAATAAAACTTCGTATAATTTCTAATCTTTTCTAATTTTTACTTTTTCCCTCTCCTTTGCTTCTTTTCTCCTTCGTTTTCTCCTTTAGTTTGCTTTCTTTTCTTTTTTGATGCACTGATTTTTTTCTTTCCTTCCTTTTTATTTTTTCGTATTTTTTTCTTCATTCTGTTTTTCCTTTTTATCTCTCATTTCTATTTCTTTATGTTTACCTGTATCAGTTATTGTTTCTCTTATAATTAACATGATAATTTTTTCCATATTCTCTTTTGTTTAATATCATAATTTCCCCCATATTCTCTTTTGTTTAATATCATAATTTCCCCCATATTCTCTTTTGTTTAACATTATAATTTCCCCCATAATCTCTTTTATTTAACATTATAATTTCCCCCTTATTCTCTTTTATTTAACATTATGATTTCCCCCATATTCTCTTTAATTTCACATTAAAATTTCCCCCTTATTCTCTTTTATTTAACATCATAATTTCCCCCTTATTCTCTTTAATTTCACATTATAATTTCCCCCTTATTCTCTTTTATTTAACATCATAATTTCCCCCATATTCTCTTTTATTTAACATTATAATTTCCCCCTTATTCTCTTTTATTTAACATCATAATTTCCCCCTTATTCTCTTTAGTTTCACATTATAATTTCCCATTATATTTAACATAATAATTTCCATTTATTCTCTTTTTCCTTTCTCTTCACTTTTCATTATTTCCTTTCCTTTTCCTTCCGAATTAATTAAATGTCAACGCTTACCTTCCCGCAGCTGTTGCTGTTGTTGTTGTTTTCTGCTGAATCATTGTTGTTGGTAGAGGTTGCCTCTATACCAGTAGTTGCTGAGGCAACAGCTGCCATCCTAGTCATGTGCGGTTCAGATTATACCGTCCTAGTCATGTTCGGTTCAGATTATACTGTCCTAGTCATGTTCGGTTCAGATTATTTCATCCTAGTCATGTGCGGTTCAGATTGTTCTGTTCTAGTCATGTGCTGTTCAGATTATTCTGTTCTAGTCATGTGCGGTTCAGATCATTTTGTCCTAGTCATGTGCGGTTCAGATTATTCTATCCTAGTCATGTGCGGTTCAGATTATTCTGTCCTAGTCCTGTGCGGTTCAGATTATTCTATCCTAGTCATGTGCGGTTCAGATTATTTTATCCTAGTCATGCGCGGTTCAGATTATTCAATCATATTCATGTGCGGTCCAGAATACTCTATCCTAGTCATTTGCGGTTCAGATTATTCTGTCCGAGTCATGTGCGGTTCAGATTATTCTATCCTAGTCATGTGCGGTTCAGATTATTTTATCCTAGTCATGTGCGGTTCTGATTATTCTATCCTAGTCATGTGCGGTTCAGATTATTCTATCCTAGTCATGTGCGGTTCAGATTATTCTATCCTAGTCATGTGCGGTCCAGATTATTCTATCCTAGTCATTTGCGGTTCAGATTATTCTGTCCGAGTCATATGCGGTTCAGATTAAACTGTCCTAGTCATGTGCGGTTCAGATTATATTGTCCTAGTCATGTGCGGTTCAGATTATTATAATCTAGTCATCTGCGGTTCAGATTATTATGTTCTAGTCATATGCGGTTCAGATTAACTCAGTCATAGGAATGTGTTCTTTGTTCTGTTGTTCTAGTAATGTACGGTATAGTTCTAGCAATGTACGGTACATTGTTCAAGTAATGTACTGTAGATTGTTCTAGTAATATACTGTAGATTGTTCTATTTATGTACTGTAGATTGTTCTATTTATGTAATGTAGATTGATCTAGTAATGTACTGTAGATTGTTCTATTTATGTACTGTAGATTGTTCTTTTTATGTACTGTAGATTGTTCTAGTAATGTACTGTAGATTGTTCTATTTATGTACTGTAGATTGTTCTATTTACCATACTGCAGATTGTTCTAGTAATTGTTCTGTTTATGAACTGTAGATTGTTCTAGTATTGTGAGAATAGATTATTATTAGTTAATATGGAATAATGGAATTTTAAATTCATTTTTAGTTTTCTTCTGTAAAATTAAATATTCATAGCTTTATTAAAATTGGATTCAATGTGTATTTCTATTAGTATTTTATGCATAATTGGTTTAATTTAGTTTTTTTACAATTCGATTAATAATTCTGCAAAAACTAAAAATCAAAAATCAATCTAATTTGAGTTTATATTTTAATCAAGTCGTTTCAATATAAAGTACAAGACTTAAGCAACTGTCGACATTGCCTTGTGTCATGTCCATGAACAAAACTTTACATTCTTTTTTTGCATCATTCCAATGTACAGAGAGAATAAAAATCAAGACATTAAAAATGTAAATGTCTTGGGGGAATTTGTAGGGCAAAACACTTCAGCAACTGGTTAAAAATACACGATGTTTTTCAAAGAAATTCGAAATTTAAAGATTTATATTTAAAAACACAAAAATTTACACCAAACAAAATTCCCCCCCCCCTTCAGAAAAGATCCTAGTTGCGCCTCTGATGAATATATATATATATATATAATAGGAAGTCTAACCTTGAATG